CGGCGCACACACGAGGGTCCCTTAATCACCCTTGACCCGTTTCGCGCGGCCTCCCTCGACCCCCCGCGAAATTGTGCATACCACCTTTTCCGATCTTCCGGCTCCACGTACACGATGATTCTTTCGCGATGGGCCGCCGGGGACGCCGGCCTCCCCCGAGCGTTACATCAGCCCTGACTGCCAGGCCACCGAGATACGGTATACGCCACGCGCGCCGCTCCGACCGTGCCGGCAGCGTTATGCCGGCCGTATCGACCTGAGAGTGAAACTCTCAAGAATTCCTTTCGAGACACGAGTTTACGATACTTTACACACAGCGGGTAGCGAAGGATTCGCGTATTCGGGAATCCCCGCGATGCTCGTCGAGCTCCTCGCGATCCGACGTTCGAAGCTTCTGTGAAAAAATCTGGGACACACGGCTCCGTTGATGCGCGATTCTATTCGGGAGTAGTAAGAAGGTAGATTCCTTTACTTTTTCTTGCAATTTACAATTATTCTCCCTTCTACTTGAAAATTATTTCTTCGCGTTTCATGAACCTTTGAAGTGTTATTTACTTTCGTCATTGAACTCGTGTAATATTTTATAATCGCCGATTTCGAGGAAATGCAAAGGAGTTTGAAGATAATCGATTGGTAATAGGAAAATAGAGTTTTATTAGAGGCTTATTAAAAAATCTGGGACACCCGGCTCTGTTGATGCGCGATTCTATTCGGGAATAATAAGGTAGATTTCTTCAGGATAGTTTCATTCGAGAGACAAAACTCACTGAATTTGGTAGAATTCGAGTGCGAAGGGTTAGCACTAGAACTAGATTTTCGGAGATTTCATTATAGAAACTACAAACGTGAATTTATTGACCCTTTGCACTCGAGAGGTGACTCTCAGTCGCCATTTTATTCGATACAGCAAAACTATGAAGTTGAATATTTAGCATTTTAAATTAAACTTTGTATTACTATGCGAAACATTTGAATAAAATAACTTTGTTCCTTAATTTATCTCTGAATTATTGTCAAAATCAGTTTCAAACGATGTCGGCTATATCTCATCGGAGAATGTTGAATATTTCCAGTCTAAAGCTTTCGAGTGCGAAGGGTTAACATTTGAATTATTTCAAACTTCAGCTTAGCTATTACTTGATCAGCTTCTTCATTAATTTCTCAAATTCGTACCTCTTCAGTAATCGCAAAAGAAGTCAAGGAATGGGTCATCATTTAATACTAAACCTACCAGACGTCTTCTTTTTGCAATTATTAAAAAGATAACAAACGCTTCTATAAGAAATCATTAAAGAAATCAATTGATCAATACGAAAGCTGAATTGTAAACCAATTGAAGTCTCGATAGCCTTGGAGTTTCTATAGAGGAATTTCAAAAAGTCTATTTGACTGGTAGTTTTAGTGTTAATGACTTGTGTCAATAAACTGATTTCAAGATTGCGCTCTTGTTAGCGTATTTTTCGTACATCGCAGCCGGCGAGCTCGACGCGAGGAGATTTTTTCGCGAGGGCGCGCTGTAGCGCGCGGATGTTCGATCCAATCGGCCGTCCGCCATTTTATATCCTACTCTTTGCAAACGCTCCTATCCCGTGACCGTTGATACGCCTCACGATCGAACCCCCCGATGATGACCGGCGATCAAGGGATTTACTCGTGAACAAAACGGGGTCGCTGGGCTAACATGCCCGGAATTATGTATCGGATCGTCTTATGAATAATGTGAGCCTCTCCCAAGGAGAAAGGCGATAGTGTAATAAAGTTTATAGCCACTAGGCGGGGAGACGGTCACTTTCAGCCTGTTCTGAAATAAAGAGCCAGTCGGTTCGGCTGTCGAATGCAAATGCACCTCTTAGCGTACCACCCACGCCGCTGCGAAACTTTCGAGAACACTTTCGACACTGGAATTTACGTTATCTCCGTAGAACTTTATATGTTTTAAATTAGACAGCGCTAAACGCCATTGAAAATGTAGTAACGACGGAGAATATTTTGGAAAATAGAACTATCAGTTCGAATTCGTGACGTTTCAGTTAAAAAAATTCAATTCTCGAGAGACACTGTGTGGTATGAATGTTAATGTTTATAATTGTTTGATATTGATATAAGAGTTATTGTGAACTATGGTTTAGTTATTCAAACGATTGAGTTTTATCTTTTCTAATTAATATGCTTTCCATTTTTAACGTTAATGGAACAGATATTTTTTGTTCCTTTTATTCGCTTTGTTATTGTAGTTTAACTAGTTTGATTGGAATTGTTTTAGTATGGTATTAGGATGAAAGTAGTTTGATATTCAATTCCGATTTCAAACTTTTTAATCCGGTTCCGTCAGAAATTTCGAACGAACGGTCTCGTCGTTTCAGACGGAAGCGTTGAACAATACAGTGGACAATAATAAGATTAAGGGAAAATTGTTGCTCCTCCGTTTCAGAGGGAAATGTCAGGCATTTTACGGCTTAGCCTGTTTCATGACACGCCATTATATGCGACGCAGCTTGTGAAACGCAAGATTACGTAGACGTAATTGTATATGCAACTACCGGGATGTGAATTGCGTTCACCGAGTCTGCTGCGCGAAGTTAAGTTATCCTTGCGGCATCGGTATTACGATTCGCGTACTTGAGGAGCATCACTGAATCACCGTTAACCTTAATTACGTCGGAGTAAAAGAAAGAACGATTAAGTGGAGGGTGTTCTGCCGTGGAGCTCTCGTTGGAATTTATAACAATTCGCAGCTTATGAAATGCGCGTTTCATATTGGAAGAATTGAAAAATGAATTTCTAAATACACGAATGCGTAGATTTTAAAATGTGCAAATAGTTACGAGTGTGTATAAATAGGTATGTTGTTTCTATCTTTTGCTTTGTAATAGTGAAATGAGTTTTTGGTAAAAGGGAACAAGAAATTGGAAATTTCTGGTGAAGCGAATTAAGGAACTACAAATTTACAATGGAAGTTAAATAAGGAATTACAAATTTCGAGTGAAGTGAAACGAAAATTCGAAAATTTGGAATATGGAAAATTAAGGAATCCCAAATTCCAAATAAAGAGAAATTAAGAAATTCCAAATTTTAAATAAAGCGAAATAAGAAATCTCAAATTTCAAATAAAGAAAACTAAGAAATCCCAAATTTTAAATAAAGCAAAATAAAAAATTCCAAATTTCAAATATAGCAAATTAAGAAATTCCAAATTTTAAATAAAGCAAACTAAGAAATCCCAAGTGTTAAATAAAGCAAACTAATTAGAAATTTCGAATGAAGCAAATTATGAAACTCTAAATTTCATATAAAGCAAAATAAGAAATCCCAAATCTTAAATAAAGCAAAATAAGAAATTCCAAATTTCAAATAAAGTAAATTAAGAAATCCCAAATGTCAAATAAAGCGAACTAAGAAATCCCAAATTTCAAATAAAGCAAACTAAGGAATTAGAAACTTCAAATAAAGCAAACTATGGAAGTAGAAACTTCAAATATAGCAAACTAAGAAATCCCAAATTTCAAATAAAGCAAACTAAGAAATCCCAAACTTCAAATAAAGCAAACTAAGAAATCCCAAATTTCAAATAAAGCAAACTAAGAAATCCCAAACTTCAAATAAAGCAAACTAAGAAACCCCGAACTCCAAATAAAGCAAACCAATAAACCCCAAACATCAAATAAAGCAAACCAAGAAATCCCAAATTCCGAACAATAGGTAGCACGAAATCACAAATCTTCAATAAACAAAATAAAACAAAATAAGTAATTCCAAACGTCGTACAGAGCGAAACAAAAAATGCACAAATTTGCAAAAAGAAAGGAGGGCAAGGAACTGCGGAAGGCCGAGCGAAAGTCGCGTCGTCCATCCGCGCGAGTGGCTGAAAAACAGGGTCGATTTTCATGGGTCAAAAGCCTCGGACTTTCCAGATGGATAAAGCCGGTGGGCGGCCGTTCCTTTTTTCCGTTTTAAATTCAGCCGTGCAGTCGCGGAACTTCGCCGGTTTAATAAAGAGTAACGTATGCGGGGGTTAACGGGGCTGGAATCGGGCAAACGTCACGCGGGAGCCTCTTTCCTTCGAGATTAAAAATTTCCGTAGTTTGACGCTGCTCGTCCCTCTTCGTCCCCTCCTTCTCCCGCCGTTCCCCCGCCCCTTTGTCGCATTTTTCCCCGGCTCTACAATATTAAGAGCGTTCATGACGATGTTCCATGCAGATAGACAGAAAAATCTCGCCTCTCGTTTTCGTCCCTCGCCAAGCTTCTTCCGCCTGCATCCCCCGAGTTGCCGTCGTAAACATTTCTCCTTGCACCTGAGAATTCTCCCTTTATTCCCGCCCGATACCGAAATGCAAAGCCGAGGAATAAAGCTGAACGAATTTTTCTGATTACGCTTTCCACGTAATCCGACTCTATGTTTGAGATATTGAGAAATCAGATGGAATAATGAATGTTCACTGATTTCCTTGAATTTAACCCTTTGCACTCAGAGTTCTTCATATTACCAGCAACTCGAAGCAATTTCAGTGGAAACGTCATATTCACATATAAGTAAATGATTTTAAAAGAAAAGTCGTTGTATGTTATTGTTTTTTTAATTGATTATGTATACAAATGTTATAGTATATAAAAAACAAGAAATTATCAAATTAATATCCTACACACAATAGTTTTTACGATTTGTCTTTGTTCTTATGTTATGAACGGAAAATTATTTGCATTGTCTTCGAGTTTGAAGACAAATTTTAAATGCAAGTGCGAAGGTTAAATTATCTCGGAGAATAAAATGAGAAAATCGAAAGGATTCTATTAGGAAATGACTTAACGTTTGAAAGTAAGATTGCGACGGACGCGTTTTCAACAATCATAACGAACTATCATCGTTACAATGATCTTACCTCTGATTGCAGACTTTCGAGCGTCAAAGGTAGCTTGCATGGACCTTCGGCTGCCAGTCTTAACGCAAGAACTGCAGAGATCTAGTAAAGCCGGCGAGGGTGAGTTTGTCATCCATCAATTCCTTCATTTTCATTTGTGACAAGCGGAGAGTCATCGAATTCTTTAAACTGTAAATTGTATTGTTACTCTGTTAAATCCACGGTGAGTTATATATTTGTCAGTAGACTTTGACAGCAAATGATTTACGAATGCAAGAGAAGCCCAAGAAACGAATGATATCGTTCATAATAAATTTTGTCAATGTTCGAACGAGGCTTTTACAAGTGTTGCGAGCAACGAATCAAGCGTTGCCGACGATTTTTCGTTCCTTCGAGGAACGATTCGCGAACATTGGGATTGGGTTTCAGTTTGCGAGCGCGTTCCGTACAGGTACGTATATACTAAGGCGATCGATTCGAATCCCCCAGTGACGTAGCAATCTTCTCCGTGATACTTTCGCGGTCTAACGGGTTTCGTTTCGGAACGGTAATTGTATGAAATCGCGGGAGGAATTACGAGGAATCGGTATTCCACGCGTGGCCCGTCGAACGTTTCATCAGTGGGAGAGAATCCAGTGATCTTAGTCAACGATTTCTTCCACCTTCTCTTGCAATTTACAATTATTCTCCTTTCTACTTTGAAAACAACGCTACCCTTCTACTCGTGAACATTTGTACTATGAAAACAGAATTATAAATTAACACGTTGAATGCCATGGGGGTCACCGGTGACCTCAACCGAATCGAATTACTATAATTCACTCGATTAAACGATGATTATTTGAACACTTTTCTATATTACAAGTAATACAACTTAGTTTGACATTCAACAATTCAAACCTGTAATAATAACAACGTTATTCAATGGCATAAGTTGATGCTACATTATTTTCATTTTCTATATTTGTCTCGGCAAAATCGTGCGGCATTCAACGTGTTAATGTACCATTGAAAATTATTTCCCCGTATTTCATGACCTCTTGAGGTATTACTTACTTTCGTTATTAAACTCGTGTAATATTTTATTATCGACGATTTCGAGGAAATGCAGAGGAGTTTGAGGATAATCGATTGATAATAGGAAAATAGATTTTTATTAGAAGCTTATTAAAATTTAATTGATTAAAGTTAATCTAGGAATCTTCACGAGTCATCGTATGACAAGGTTCAATCGTGAAAAGAATTGATATCGTGACAAATTTCACAACTCCGGTACTTTAACCCTTGCCCTACGAGTGAGACTCGCGGTGAAGATTTTCAACATGATTCAACAAATATATCACTCGGTTCATTCGAATTCAAAGTAAATATTCCTCTGTAATCAACTATTATACTTAAAAGGAAATATACGCTTAACATATGCTTCGAATTTTTCTTTTTCCAATAAATTATCAATGACAAAGTAGTCACATCGATCAGAGTTGAGAAAGAAATCATAGGCCAAGGGGTTAACAAAGATTGATTAATCAATTACGTATATCATTAGTCTTCCAAACGAAAATCTGTTCGCTCTTCCCAGTTCCAGCTGACTCATTTGCGACACGGAACGATGCGAGATTAAAATGTTCTAACGATGCTGGTTCGAAAGAATAAAGTGCATCACGATTGACGAGCGGCCTCGCTTACAAGAAATAATCAATTGAAATTGGGTCATTACTTCCGACGACGGCCAGTGGCCGACGTTCGCCAGCGCCGGTCGACGAATTTTCGTTCTTGGGAACGTGACATTTAGATCGTGGCTCGGGTCCAGGCCAATCACGCCTCGCCGAGGAATTAGCTAGTTTCAAGAACAACCGACCCACCCCTTCCCCTCCCCTTTCTCTCTACTCTGTTCTTTGTTTTCTTCGTTTCTCGTTTCCTGCAATTCAAGACGAACTCCCGAAAGACAAGCGGAACGAGGAAAACCGGCCGCTGGCCACTCGCCGCGAAATATTCATTGGCAACGAGTCTCGACGAACTGGGACGGGTCAGTTCGTGATAATGACCCTTGGTCGCGCGTCTGCTGTCTAGCTTTCGTTTCGTCCTCTCTCTTCCTCGTCCCTCGGTTTGTTCTTCCGATTAACCGTTTGGACGCTGAACAACTTTCGTGGATATTTACCAAAAATGCGGAAGCGATTGGGTGTGCGCAAAAAAATTAATAAGAGTAGTTATCTAACGAGATCAAAAATGCTATTCAACACTATTTCTACCGATTCCGAAATTTTCACTTATAATTGTTTTCTCAGTTTAATAGCTTTTCCTCAATTGAATTCTGGACATTTCCTATAGTTAATTTTATAGTCGTTATTGGAAAAGTCAAAAAGTTGATGCGCAATGTGTTAACTTGTTTCCTCGTTTCCTTCTTTTCCTGTGAACGTTACTTTCGCGATACTGTTAATTTGTAACGTTCGCTTTCGTCATTTAGTTTGGCGACTGTCTTCGCAGTTAGCGTACTGTGCTGCTTGATTTTTTATTATTAGTTCTGTAAAAGTCGGGATATGTATTATATTACATATTGTAGTCTGCAATTTAATATACAAATGGCACTTCAGACAAATTATCGTTTTATTCTGTAATAGAAATTATAAATCGTTAATGCTACGTGCTGCCGACAAAGGGTTAAATAGAATTTGTATTCTTTAGGAAACCGCTTTAAATTCACAGATGTCATCGTTGCAACGTGAACACTTCCTAAATTTGATTTTAATCGGGTTTAATGGAATTACAAACGCAAGCAACAGTTTGCTGTTGAAAGATTCCTAGTAACTAATTCGGTTTACTTCGACTACACCCGAGGAGAGACGAGAGAGTCTTGTTTAATTAATTGTTGAACAAACCTCGCTTCATCTTTCATCGAGAACGCGAGCTGCGAACACGCTTCTCATCGCGAACACTGATCTGGGTGGCCATAATTAAAGACAGGTCCATATCGACTTTTTATAAGAAAATATAAGAACGCAATATAATAATATGCAATTATATGCAATTATATGGCACATAAGAATAAATTTATTGACATAAATTACATACAATTTCAGATATTTATTCACATATCACACACTACATAATGTAACATACAATAATATAATATATAACTCACAATAATACATCATAAATAATATATAATTGTTTAATTTAATGATTCTCCGCAAAATTCTCTATACTAGCGAGCAGAATTAAAGAATCGCAATATTTCTATTAAAAAATTGCCGAAGTTGATACGAATTCATCCACTGTCCAGCCGTAATTCTTGTTCATTACATTATATATACTTTGCAATATTATTTACAAACATTTCAATTCAATTTCGTAAATTCCATAAATCCTTTAAATTCTCTAAATTCTCTAGATTCTACATCTTTGTACCTCCGCGTAAATCGAAAGGATAACATCCAAGACAATCATGCTCTCTCGCGAAGGAATTAAAAACTAAACGAAAGAATGAAATTTATTATACTTTCGGAACGATGGGAACTGGGTCGCGTGTTTATGGAAATACTTTTTATCGTTCGGATACGTCGAAGCTGTTCATGAAATATCCGTCATTTATCCCGGCGCAGCCGCGGCTCTCTGTAGTACGCGGCGAACGCGTCGCGGTCAGGAAGACATTGAGAGATAGGGAGGAACCGAGTGACAGTCCATTCATTACGCGGCGATAATAAACGAGTGCCGTTCCCACGTGCGAACGTGACAACATTGTGGCTCTCGGTTTGCATATTAAAAGGGTTCGATCAAGCGGCGCGATGCATAAACAATGCACAGGGCGAACTATTTCCCTCGCGCGCGCGCGATTCACTTTGTAACGTTGTTACAACAATGACCGTTTTCCATTCCCGCGGAAATTTCACGGACTACTTTTGCACGGCCAGTCCCGTTGAATGATTCCTTTAGCGTAAATGGGCCGCGAAACTTCAAAGAACCTTTCAAAGAAGTTATTCACGAGAAATAAGCGCCGCGTTAGAAAATTCCGCGTTTATTTTTTAACTTCGCGCCTGGGGAACGATCTTTCCGGTGTTTTTTGCGTCCGTTGAAGTTGAAGCGCGCCAAAGTGGCGTTTATAGTCTATAGTTTATAGTGCGATACTCTTTCGAGGTTTATTCTCGCGATAGTATCTTTATGGTACGGTATTCTTTCTTTACGGTTACGGCTCGCTGTGTGATAATTGTAGGCACCCTTAGTTTTTGATTTCTTAATTATTGGTTTAAAGTCTTCGCGTTGCATTGTATATTTTCTATATACTTAACGAACATCAAGAAAGAAGAACTTTGACTTCAGTTTCAAGTAACTTGTGAAAATTAGATTGAACATGCATTGGCTATTTATTCTTAAATCGGAAAGATTCTATACACTAATTAATTAATATGGTTTTCTGCAGTGAAAATAAAACAGAAACTTCATTATTATTCACATATTTCCAAATGAATGAGACAATTTTCGCAGTGATATCGAGAATATTTCATTTTTCAATACTGTAATCGTTAAAGATTTATCAAATATTCTTTCAGGACAGAAAACAATTAAACTTCGAAATTCAGTTTCGATTTGCCGTTCTTTCGTTTCGGTACACCCGATACAGCGTGGACCGCGATCGAGAGGAATTCCTCGGCGGATTTACAGTCGTTCGAGCCAGCGAACTTGAAGAACGATTATAACAGTAATTACGGGGCAGAATCGGTGAGTTTTACAATCGCGTAATATCACGTTGCAGAGGAGCAATTATGAGGTAGATTGTTATCGAGTCCTTACCTCGAAAGACTTGACGCGGAGGAAACGTTCCACGATTTTAAAGGTGCGGGTACACTAGCAGCAGACTTGCTCCGTTTTTCCTTAGCAGAACAACCGAGAGTGATTAACGTTTGATTCTTACAAAAATTATAACAATAGATTTCTTTTCGGTTTCTCCGTACGTCGATTATAGTAATAAAGTGAAACTATTTATTTTCCAAATCATTTCGGGTGTTTTTAGCTTCATCAATCCTTGCGAAATAAGAAAACCGAGACCCGCCATTTTGTCGGGCGCGGCTGTTCGCGTTGAACACTGGACGCTCAAGTGTATACACTTGTATTTCGTTTGCTCTTAT